CTTGGACTACAAGGAGATCCAACCAGTACCATCCTAAAGGAAATCAGTCCTGAATATTCATTGGAAGGACTGATGTTGAAGCCGAAACTCCAATACTTAGGCCACCTGATGCATGGAACCGACTCATTTGAAAAGACCCTGATGCTGGGGAAGATTGAAGATGGGAGGAGAAGGGGATGACAGAGGATGAGATGGTTGGATGGCATCGCTGACTCAATGGACATGAGTTCGGGTAAACTCTGGGAGTTGGTGATGAACAGGGAGGCCTGGCGTGCTGCTGTCCATGGGGTCTCAAAGAGTCGGACGCGACTGAGCAACTGAACTGAACTGAACTGGATACTTTAAAAGAGTACTGACTAGATATTTTGTAGAATGTCCCTCCGTTTGTGTTTGTGTGGTATTTTCCCCTGATTAGACTGAGGAGTGAGGTACCTTCTCAGTGCAACATCAGGACTCCGTGATGTTGATGTCTTAACCTTGAATGCTTGGCTAAAGAGGCATCTGCTGTTTCATCACTGTAAAGTTACTATTTTCCCTTCTGAAGTTATTATTTTGGGTGAGATATTTTTGAGACTATGTAAATATTCTATTTGCTCTTAAACTTTTACCCACTAATTTTAACATCAATCAGTGAATTTTACCTGTAGCGGTTATTACTGTGATGTTGGATTTTTTATTATTTATTTGGCTGCTTCCGGTCTTTGTTTCAGCAAGCTAACTGTTAGTTGTGGGATGCAAATTCTTAGCTGTGGCATGTGGGATCTAGTTTCCTGACCAGGGGTCAAACCCAGGCCCCCTGCATTGGTATCAAGGAGTCTTACCCACCGGACTGCCAGGGAAACCCCATTGTGATGTTTCAATGGTGATCACCTATTATCAATCTCCCATTCCTTCAACATTTATTGATTGAGATTCTTCTGTAAGGAAGGGTTTTCAACTCTCTTCCCCTTATTCAGTTAATCATTTTTATCAATGTGAACTATGGCTATTTCAGTCTTTTAATTATAATCCATTATTACCTAGTTTATTGCTCATGTTGTTCCTAAATATTAAACACAAAAACATGTTTCAAAAGCTTCAATTTGGGAAATGAAAATTAAAATACAAGGGGATGTAGTGCTTTTCCCCATTAGACTAAGATGAAAAAGCTCACTGATATAGCATATTAATGAGATTAAGGGAAATGGCACTCATATCAAGGTGAGATTGTAGACTGTACCATCTCTATGGAGGGCAGTCTAGCAAAACCAATTAGAATTAAAGTGCATATATCCTTAGACTGAGCAATTTAACTTCCAGAAATTTTTCTAGAGATAGTCTCTTACGTGGGAAATTATGAAGGTGTGTATTCTTAGTTGTTCAGTCGCGTCCGACCCTTGCAAACCTTTGGATTCTAGCCTACCAGGCTCCTCTGTCCATGGGATTTTTCAGGCAAGGATACTGGAGTAGATTGCCATTTCCTCCTCCAAGGGATCTTTCCCACCCAGGGATGGAACTCGCATCTCCTGTGTCTCCTGCATTGCAGGCAGATTCTTTACCCGCTGAGCCACGTGGTATTAGCAACGTTGCTTATAATATCAAAAGATTGGAAGCTGCAGAAATGTCAGTCATTAGAAGACTGTTAGGTAATTATGAGCTCTCCAATAGGGGAGCACCATGTGGTGCTTATAATAAGGCAGATTTTTGAGGACTGACATTAGGGGTGATCCACAAGCAGGGAGGTTAAGTGAAAAGTTAAGATTTGAAATGCATATATAGACTACTTTTCAGAAATTTCTCTTAAATTATTTATTTGGTAGTTCCATCCCCTTTATCTTCTTGGTTCTCTTTTTCTGGAGGAACTTGTGCTATTTGTAATGGTGCCTCCTGGACTGGTCATCTGATTTTCTTATCCTTGTCTGATTATGTTTTCTTACTGTTTTTACTTGACTTTCTAGAAATTACTTCAATGTTATCTTCTAAACCTATTAAACTTTTTAAATGTAATTTTTAAAGTACAATTGACATAAAATAAAATGCACTGATTTAAAGGTACAGATTCATAGATTTTTATAAACTGTATATCCACCACCCTGCAAAATATATATATACATGTTTTATATATATAATATATATAAATCATATCTACACAATAGAAATATATAAAAATTATATAATACATATATATAAATATATAATATATTATATAATAATATATTATATAAAATATATTTATAAAATATATAAATATATTTATAAAATATAATATAATTATAATATATTGTATTATATAAATTATATATAAATATATAAAATTATATAGAATACAAATAAATAAAATTATAAATATTTAATATATAACATATATAATTATAGTATAATAATATATTATATATTATATAATTATAATATATAATATAATACACATTATATAGTATAATATATTATATATAATATATTAATATATAATAATAATAAAATATAATTATTATTATATATAATATAATTATAATAATTATATTATACATGTTATATATATGAAATTATATATATTATATACATTATGATTAGATAATATATAATTATATATATTAAATTATATAAATATATAATATAGAATATATTTCTATAAATTAAAAAAAAGAATATATTTCTATAAATTATAAACATATAATATGTAATATATAATTTATATAATTATATAATAAATATAATATTATATATTATAATAATTATATAATTATATTTATATAATATATAATATGATATTTATATAATATATAAATAATATATTGATACATACTATATAAATATATAATCTAATATAATAATATATATTATATAATTTAAATATATTATTAAAACAAATTATTATATATTATTATATTAATAATATATAAAATCTATTAATATAATATATTATTAGAATATAACAATATAAATATATTTATTATATTATAAATAAAATAAATTATATTATAAAATAATATATTGTATTATATATAATATATTAAATAATATATATTATATATAAAACCACCATCCTAGTAAATTCTTCCTGCCTCTTTCTAGCTCATCTCCTGACCCCATTCTCTCCCTTACAGAATCCCTTACACAGTCACTATTCTGATTTCCGCTGCTGCTGCTAAGTCACTTCAGTCATGTCCGACTCTGTGCGATCCCATAAACGGCAGCCCACCAGGCTCCCCCGTCCCTGGGATTCTCCAGGCAAGAACACTGGAGTGGGTTGCCATTTCCTTCTCCAATGCATGAAAGTGAAAAGTGAAGTGAAGACGCTGAGTCATGTCTGACTCCCAGCAACCCCATGGACAGCAGCCCACTAGGCTCCTCTGTCCATGGGATTCTCCAGGCAAGAGTACTGGAGTGGGTTGCCGTTTCCTTCTCTGAATTCTGATTTCTAGTAATCAAAATAAATTCTTGAAGGATTATGATGTAAAAATTAGAATCATAAAAATATTGAAAGACAACATTCCAAGTGGGGCAAGGATGTCCTAAATATAACATATTATGGCATTTTTTAAACCAGTAAATTTTATTGTATAGAACTGTCTTGTGTTCTCAGAAAACTGGAGAAGACAGTACAGTTTCCTATAAACCTCTCATCCACACTCCCTCTGCCCACCATCAATATCCCTGCGTCTGTATGGTTCATTTATTACAATCAATGAACCAACACGGCCACATTATCATCAACCAAAGTTCATAGTTCATGTTAGGGCTCACCTTGGTGTTGTGCATTCTATGGGTTGGCACAAATGTATAGAAGACACATGTCCACCATTATAGCATCATTCAGAGGAGTTCCACCACCATAAAAGTCTCCTGTGTACCCCGTTTTCATTCCTGCTCTTCCCCACAGTGCTGGCCAACCAGTCATTTTTTAATGTTTCCACAGTTTTGCTTTTTTCAGGATGTCACATTAGTTAGAACCATACAGTATGTGGCCTTGTCAGATTGACTTCTTTCACTTAGTAATATGCTTTTAAGTTTCCTCAATGTCTTTTCACTGCTTGATAGATCATTTCTTTTCAGTGCTGAATATGATTCCATTGTGGATGCACCACAATATATTCATTCGTGGTGATCAGTAGTTTTGTGACTGAGTGTGCAAGGGAGCCCTGGGTACTGCCCAAAAGTCCAGTAGGAGGTGAATTGCTAACTTATGGTATATTCATAAAACGGAAACGAATATATTAACTAAAACATTTTCTAAGAATTTGCATGTTATGTTCACCCATATGTATATACGTATATAATCATGTAGGGAAAAGATAAATGTGAGTGAATATATATGTACACTTATACTTAAATATGTACACACACATATACAACTTCAATAATGGTAAATTCAAATTATGGAAATTCTTTAAAATGTTATCTGTGATTAACTCTCTTGGCTGGAGGCATATGGGTAATTTTAATATTCTTCTTTATTCCTTTCTGTACTTTCCAGGTCTTCTGAAAGAAATAACCACTAGTTTTGTTTGATTTTCTCCCCCTAGAGACGCAGGGGTACTCCTGGAGAAGCCAAGGTTGAGTGGGCTGCTCACCTGAACCCTGGAAGGCGATCTTTTTTTTCTTTTTTGGTATTTATTTATTTATTTATTTGGCTGTGCTAGATCTCAGCTGTGGTATATGGAATCTAGTTTCCTGACTAGATAGAACCCAGGCCCCTTGCATTGGGAGTGCAGAGTCTTGGCCACTAGACCACCAGGGAAGTCCCTTGGAAGGCAATCTGAAAGGCAGGATGGTGGGGAAATGTCACAGCAGAAACCCAATCTTCCCAACCTGTCATCAGCTGGAAGAGGCTAGCAAGAGACCATCAGGGCAAATCCAGAGAACCGATGAAGTCCAAAGGTTGGGGCCCTGGGCAGACAAGAGGGAAGCTGCAGGGCTTTTTCGAGAAAGCCAGATCCTCGTGTATGGACAGGACTGCAGTGGTGAGTGTGCTGGTCCCATGGGGACAAACTCTACAGCTACAGACACTTCAGAAAACACAGTCACGGTAGTGACAACTGCCTTGGGCCACCTTCACGATATACATCTGTCACGTCTCTCTCTGGGCATGCCAGGCTCCTCTGCCTGCCACTGTATGCAGGGCCAGGTGCAATAGTCTTGGCAAATCCTTCTGTGACCTCTGGACCCGCAATGGTGATAACAGAGGCGCCAGAGCCTCGAAGAGCCAACAGCCACAGCCTGGAGGAATCCAGGAAGCATTTCAAAGTCACCACTCCTGGCAGAGAGCAGGAAGGCAGCAACAGGGGCTGCAGGGGAAAGGCAGGCGCCAGCCAGGGCAGAGGATGAGAGACGATGTAGAGAAACTTCCCGCGGGCAGCTCGGAGTCGTGGTGCCGCGGTTTCCCTCTGCCCCGTGGAGGACCGAGGACTGATGCGCCCTGCCTCATGGGGCCACGTGACAACCCCTCTGACCTCCTCGGTCCCCCTCCTCCTGACAGCGGCTGTCATCTGCAAGTCCCAGTGTGGCCAATTCCTGCTGGGCCACACCATGCTTTGGGAGACTGATGTAGGAGCAGTCAGAATTTTCCAGACCCTGGAAGACACATGCACCTTTTCTCTACACCTTTTGAAAGCTGCTCTCTTAAGGGTCCAGGATACACCTCTGGGTCCTGGCTTTGGTTCGTTGTCCACCCTGCAGGGGACTTTTGTCATGATGCATCTTCTCTACCACTGGTTAGTCCCTCCTGTGGGTTGACATGAAGACCAAAGGCAGAGTCAGTTCCCTTTTGTCTCCTTTTTTCTAGAATTTGCTGTTGTTTAGTTGCTGAGTTGTGTCAGAATTTGTTGTTGTTGTTATTGTTGTTTAGTCGCTGTGTCGTGTCTGACTCTTTCGCGACCTCATGGACTGTTGCCCACCAGGCTCCTCTGTCCATGGGATTTCTCAGGCAAGAAAATTGGAGTGAGTTGCCATTTCCTTCTCCAGGGGATCTTCCCGACCCACAGATTAAACCCATGTCCCCTCCCTTAGCTGGTGGATTCTTTACCACTAGGGAGAAAATTGTCAAGTAGGTAATTTATCAAGCCTTTGTGACTTACATTCTTAATTTTCATTCCTTTAGTGAATGAGCCTGTCACTGAAATGCTGCAGCCACTCCTTTTTCTTTAGGCCTCACACTCAGGGTTTAAAATCTCCAGATGCTGTCCTGTGCTATGTGATATGGGTTGCCATGGAGCCAGAACTAGCTTGTAAATGCTGAAATCCTGCAATTTCGCCGAGAGACAGGATGATCTGTTACGTGTAGATTTGAGTCACGTGTAGATTAAGCTGCTCGGTGACAAGAGTTGTGATTTGGTGGTTTGCATCAGCTTTAGCAGATCACCCTCTTGACTTTGTCAATTGATTGAGTTACAATCAATTTGTGTGTGTGTGTGTGTGTGTGTGTGTGTGTGTGTGCGTGTTTGTGTTTTGACCATTGCGTGTGGCATGAGGGATCTTAGTTCCCCGATTGGGGATTCAAACCTCACCCCCTGCAGTGGAAGTGTGGAGTTTTAACCACTGGACCGCTAGGGAAGTCCATAATCAATTGTTAAAACAGCTAAATAACCCATTTGGTAAAAGGATATGGAATTTTAAGTTGATGGATGATGCCCTTTTCTGGCCTGGTCTTTCACTGTATTTACAAAGTCTGCTGCCACTGAGGAGTCAGCTAAGAAGTCCCTCCGGATTTGGGGCTGGGGATTGTCAGTCTTCAAGGAAGCGTTTCCACCTCCTTCTGCTCCAGCTGCAGCTTCTTGACCTGCCATCAGGCCTGCTCAGCACACTCCCCTTCAGTCAGGAGGCATCTGAACAGCCTCAGGAAAGAAGCACTTGAGGACCGAATCCTGCTGCTCTCACCAGCTGACCAACTGGACAACCCCTTGTCATCGACATACTTGTTATGGACACCCTATGGGCACCCTCGTGGCCCCTCCTCTGGCTTCTCTGGCCCCTTCGTAGTTTATTTGTCCTTTAGTATACGGTTTGTTTCCCATACATTTAACATTTTTCTTTTCTAAAACCACTCAATCTTTTTTATGGTTTTCTTGCTTTGAAATCATACACAGAAAGGTCTTCCCATATCCAAGAATACTTAACATATTCAACTATCTTTTCTAGTTTTTTGCCCCGGTCAAGGGGGTGGAGCTAGGTAGCCGTGTATTGATATATAGGGGTTGCAACTGGCAACCCCTATGGTGCCACTTGTGACAAGTGCCTGGGGATCTTGAACCCTGAGCCCGAGGCCTAACAAAAAAGAAGTGGCTGCTGCATTTACAGGACAAGCTGCTTGTTTGCATTAACTGCTCTCACTCCTAGTCAAGGCCACGGAATCAGACGCCTCACTCCTGTAGATCTGCATCCAGAGTCTGAGTTAGATGGTGGCCGCGCTGTGTCAGGGGTTAGTGCTCTCAGGGAGGACTCTCTACTCAGGTCCACTCTAGGACCCCCACCACCACCAGCTCATGCCCCTGGGTCTTGAAGGGTACAAGTCAGGTCCTCGTAGCATCTGCTTTGGACAGGTCCCCAAGTATGTCTCCAGGGGCTTACCCCATCCACTCTGCTATGGCTCTCCCTGCCCACACTCTTGACTCTCTCCTTAGACCGCTGGGGCAGAGAAAGCTAAGGTTTATCCGTTGATGACAAGCTCAGAGCAGATAACAAACTTAAAAGAAAACTTCCCGGGACACTAACCCTTTGTCTTTAGGTGAAGACCGATGTTGTGATTGCCTAGGAGGTCCTTTCACTCCACGATAGGGGACTTGCTCCGTGCCAGCTTCGCAGAGTGGTCAGGCCAGCAGTCTCCCCCGTGCACACGCGTGCTGACGGCCAGGAGCCACGGGAGTTCCTCGAGCTGGCCTGGCCTCCACGAGGCTGGCTCCTTAGCGCCGCCCAGCAGCTCAGAGGCTGTTCCTTCCTTTCCTCCTTCCCGTGTAAATGAGGAAAGAGAAATGAAGAGCAAGCAAACCTATGTGCGTGTCGTGTGTGTGCATGCTGTGCGTGCGTACTTACACACACATAAGTATGCAGACTTTGCAGGTATCTTGGTTTCCTTAAGCGTTGGAAACAAGTGGCCACACTCTGAGTGGCTGGACACAGGCGTGTCTTCTCTCACGGTCCTGGAGGCTGGTAGGAACCAGGGCGCTGGCAGGACCGTTCTTCCTGCAGGAACTCTATAGGCAGATCCCTTCTCGCCTCTTCCTAGCTTGCGGTGGTTGCCTGGAGTCCTCGGTGCTCCTTGGCGTGCAGACACGTCACTGTAATCTCTGCCTCTGCTGTCACGTGGCCTTCCCTGTGTCGCCCCCGACTTTGATGTGTCCTCTCTTCTCCTTGGAAGGACGCCAGGCACGTGGGCTTTAAGGCCATCCTGAAACGGGATGACCTCATTGTAACTGATTGCATCTACAAAGATTTTTATTTCCAAACAAGGTCACATTCTGAGTTTCTGCATGGACATGAATTTGGGGGACTCTTACCTTGCCTAGTACACAGGGCTAAGACAGATGTATCCTGAATTCAAAGACATTAAATGTGAAAAAAAAGGGCATCTTTTTTAAAAAAAAATATTTTTAATTGGAGGATAATTGCTTTGCAATGTTGTGTTGGTTCCTGCCATACATGAATGTGAATCCACCATAGGTATGCAGATGTCCCCTCCCTTTTGAACCTCCCCCCCAACCCCGTCCCGCTCTCTGAGGCCGTCACAGAGCACCAGACTGAGCTCCCTGTGTTATATAGCAATGTCCCCCTGGCTATCTGTTTCATGTATAGTAATGTATCTGTTTCCATGCTCCTCTCTCAACTCATGCTACCCTCCCTTCCCCACACTGTGTCCACAAGCCTGTTCTCTATGTCTGTGTCTCTATTCCTGCCCTGCACATAGGCTCATCAGTACCATCTTTCTAAATTCCATATACACGTGTTACTATATGATATTTGTTTTTCTCTTTCTGACCTACTAATTGTGAAAAACATACATCTTAAACTCCATGAACTATGGCATCTTACACACACACAGACACATATACTAAATATTCAACAATGTAGATGGAAAATGCATTCTCAAAAACTACTGTGATCGAAAAAATAACTCCAAACTACTGTGATCATCTTCTGGTGGGATCCACAGTTGAGGGGCTTCAACTTTGATGGAACAGAGGAGCTCATATCCTCCAGAAGAACTTTCTGGAAAATGATTTACTTAGGATGAACTGGGTCCTGTGGCAGATGGTTGTGAAAATGCTTTGCAAACAGTCAAATGTGGTACAAACAATGGCTGATGGATACATGGGTTTACCCACTTTATGCCCTTTGGGAAAACTGTCCATTCCGTGCACAGATATGATAATAGTGAATTTTCACAGGTCACAAAGGCAATTTCCTGAAAAAAAAACTTCTTCATTGAATATAAGAAAGAATGATTCTGCCTGACTTCATAAATGGAAACTGTTTTTCATCAAGGGGTCCAGCAGCCCCTTCTAGGTTCATTCATTTTAGTGCTTGGAGTGGGTTTCCCGTGTTTAGGTTTCATGTGTAGAAGAAGGGCTCTGATATCTGATCACAGTTTCACTTACTATAGGATTTCACATGTTGCTTTGTAAAAACAAAGGATGGTGTGTCAGTCAGTTCAAAAGGAGTAACAGAATTTTATGCCTAAAAGGGAATTTATATACAATCTGATCTAATCCATTTATTTTTATTCGAGTGTAATTGCCTTGCAATGTTGTGTTAGTTTTGGCTGTACAACGAAGTGAATCGGTTGTAGGTATACGTATGCGTGCGTGCGTGTGTGCTAAGTCACTTGAGTCGTGTCTGACTCTTTGCAACCCTCTGGACGGTAGCCTGCCAGGCTTCTCTGTCCATGGGATTCTCCGGGCAAGAATGCTGGAGTGAGTTGCCATGTCCTTCTCCAGGGGATCTTCCCAACCCAGGGATCAAACCCTGCTTCTCCTCCATCTTCTGCATTGGCCGGGGAGGGCTTTACCACTAGCACCACCTGGGGTTTCCCTGGCGGCTCAGAGATAAAGAATCTGCCTGCCAATGCAGGAGACATAGGAGACATGGGGCTCAATCCCCTGCGTCAGGAAGATCCCCTAGAGAAGGAAATAGCAACCCACTTTAGTACTCTTGCCTGGGAAATCCCACGGACAGAGTAGCCTAATGGGCTATAGTCCATCCAGCCGTAAGGAGTTGGACGTGACTTAGAGACTGAACAGAAGAGTACACACGTCCCCTCCCTTCTGAGCCTCCTTCTCAGCACCTCCCTCCCTCCCACCCCCCAAGTCATCTCCGAGCACTGAGCTGAGCTCCCCGCACTGTACAGCAGCCCCCCAGCTGTTTATTTTACATAGGACAGTATTCATGCCAAACTGAATTCCCCAATTCATCCCACCCTCCTCTCCCCCGCACTGGGTCTACTTGTCAGTTGTCTCTGACTATGTCTCTATTCCTGCCCTGGAACCAGGTTCATCTGTACCATTTTTCTAGATTCCACATACACACATTAATGTACGCTATCTCTTTTTCTCTTTCCGACTTACTTTACTCTGTATGACAGACGCTAGGTCCATCTACATCTCCATAAATAAAAGAGACTTAAACTGAGCTACGGAGCAGGCGCAGACAGAGAAGTGGCTGGTTGGCCCTTGGGCAAAGGAGTTGGAGGTGGAGTTTGGGC